ACAGTGTTTTGAGGACAAGGTTGGGAATTTCCTCCCTGCTTTCCAGCTTGCAAAAGTCTTGAAATAAGCTCTCATTTATTCTCTGAATCTTCCTTTGGGAAAATCTTTCAAACTTCCAAACATTTTTTTCTTCCATAAAAATTCTTTTGAGCTAGAATTCTAACTTGATATCAATCTCTAGTGCAAATGAAACATAAAATCACTTTCTACAAACACTGGTGATCAGAGACAGCTGACCTTAGCCCTACTCTGTTCCTTCTAGGGTTTACTGTAACTGTGGTTATTGAGGAGGTAGGAGAAATATTTTAATGGAACTCCAGATGTGGTTTGCATCCATGTGTGTGTGTGTGTAGATGAAAATATTACATTTATATGTGTGTGTATGTATATATAGGTACTATATATATGTGTATGTGTATATGTATGTGTGCATATATAAATTACAGGGATTTGTGTTTTCCACATTACTGGGAACTCATATTGAGACAGTGACATTTGATTGCATCCTGTGAGATGAATAGTTTACACATAGCTGAAGAACAGAGTCACTATTTAAGCTGTAAAATATTCTGGTTTGCTCCACTTTCATCTTGATAGACGTTAATGTAAGTTTCTTTTGCCAAACTGAAGATAAACTGTTTGTCTTGCAGTCTCATTCCAAAACAGAGAAATTACTTAAGTGCCTCACCCCTAAAAGGAACAGTATGTGATGAAACAGAATATGCCCGAACTTATATTTAATTTTGCTGACAAATGTCTTTTGAGTGACTGTTCCTCAGCTTCTTTCCCAGTCCTTTATTTTTATGAGTTTTTTTAAAACACTGATCTTTCCACAGACTGGTGACACACTGACATTTCAAGATTGGAATTCATCAGAACACGTTTGATGAAATATATTTTACAAAAATATTCTGCTTCTTAGATGCCAAAACATTTTGCAGAGGTGCTGGTGTTGATGAATGGGGAGTTTTATGTATCCCAGGTTGAGGTCTCTGGTTATGTCTGATCTGAAAACTCAATCTCTCTAACTCAGAAATAGATGTTTCAACACAATTACACACCCTTACATTTTAAATTTTTTTGTTTTCATTTCAAGACCATATGAAAAAACTGGAAAACCTGCACAGTTTTGGAATGGACTTATTCCTCTATCACCCAGCCAGCTCTGCACGATACCTTCTCTCCCACAAATGACTTGTGCCAGGTTTCCAGAAATGGGTGTGGGGCTACAGCTATGGGTTTTTTTTTCCACAGAAGTCACCTGTCATCTCACTGTAGCTTGAGCTTCCACAGACTTCTTTTTTTCCACTGAGTCAGGCTGTGAGAGCAGACCACAAGCTCACACTCAGCCAGGGCTGTGACTCGGCTGGTTGGCTCCGGGTTGCTGTTCCAGCTGTCCGGGCTGGTTTCAGCAGGGCGACCACTGTGGGTACATTTTTAAAACACAAACAAACAAACCAAAAAAAGTTTACAAATGTTTGTCTTCAAATTCCTGCACGAGGGCAACTTAATTGAAACCCACACCTGGTCGAACAGGGTTAGGCTGTGCCAAAGAAAGCCTCTGTGCCTGTTTCATTTGAAACCAATGGAGGGGAAGATAGTTCGTTAAGTCTGCGGTTTCCAGAAATGTCTCTGATGTGGAGTTAAACTTCTTATGTTTTGAACTCTTGTTTTGTTAAATGAGTGCAATGTTACTTGTACAGCCTGAATTTTAATGACCTGTTTCTTGGTTTAGAAGATGCAGTCACATTTTCAACCTTTGAGGCTGTGGTTGGAGATTAGGTAGATAAGTTAAAAGCCTGACCAACTCCCCTAATTAGGTTTTGGTTCTTGCAGTATATGCTGAACTTTACAGGTCATATTTCCACACACTGAACTCTCAGTCCATTTCCCAACACACCTTGAACTTGCAGTAAAACTTGAAATTTCTTATCAGAAGTATTTTTTCTTTGGATTTCCTGGAAGTCCTGGACTTGTCTCACAGAAAAATACTTCTTTTTTTTCCTTTTCTTTTTTTTTTTCACTAAATTAATGCATCCTTTGAAATGGTGAATGGTTTCAAAAAGTATCTCTCATGTGAGTCAAAATAGGAACCGCAAATACTATGTTCTTTAAAAAGCAGTAGACACTTCTATCACACTTCTGCTGTTCTGCTTGTGATGGCATTCTCAGAAATACACAAGGGGCAAATTTTCCTAATATGCCAACATATTAGGAATCAAAAGTAAATAGTACTTGGAGAGGTGGCCTTTGGAGAATGGAGAACTGGTATCTGTCTGACAGGCTGTGGGCTCCTGAATCCCCAGATAATTTGTGAAAATGGGACTTGGGGTGACCAAAGAGCCATAGAAAAATGACCTGCAGACCTTTGGGAGAGGCATCCTTAGGGATGGCCTGTGCAGATGGTTTGACACTGGTAGCTGTAAAATTTAGTCTGGCAGATTGTATGGGTTTTAGCAAGTTTAAACTACCTCACATGCATGCTCCACAGCTGGTGGGCAGGAATCAAAGAGGAGCTTATAGGGGATGTCACTGAGATGAATGCAGAACATTAAGGCAAAAATATCCAACTCCACTTTCTCCAAGTAGGAATTTATCATTGTGCCTAGCTGTTACAGTGGGTGGTCTCTGTACTACTAATATGATGTAGCTGTTAGAAAGGTATTTCCATCTCTCATAATTTTCTACTGTTTACTTACCCTTGCTGTGACACTGCTATTGACCCTGAAGTTGTAATTATAACTAATATTTCAGTAATCCTGATGATATATTGCAACAAATTGACCAACAATTACATAGGAAACAGTATTGTGGCAGTCACCAGGGACTGCCTGGCATAAGACAACTTTAATTAGACCTGACTAATACCTTATCCTGCCTCCAGGGTGCAGAGGATTTTGAGTGCTAAATGCTAACATTTCTATTAATTTACATGATCTTAGGAAATGTCTGTTTGCTAATTGTTCAAATAAAGGAGTCTCCTTTTGCAGAAATAGTGTAGTTTACAGAACATGGAGGAAAATAATTTCAGCTGCTATTAGCTTTAGTTGAAACTGCCAGCATCCTGAGTTGCCAAGATCAATCAGTTTTGTAGAGAGAAGAGGAAGTGCTTGCAGATGTGTCTGGCTCCCCTACAGGCACTAAGTTGAAATTTCTTCTTCCTGTATTCAGAAAATATTTTGAAATTCAAAGTATGTGTGTAGCCATTTAAATTGGTTACCCAAAGAATCTATGCACATGATCTGGAAAGGAAAACTACCCTTTTCCACTCCAGACTCTGCAAGAATGATGTTTCTATTTTGGTGAAACCTGTGGCATATGTCATTTTTCTTTCAATATATTAGTGAGATGCAACATGACAAGCTCTTGAGATTTATAGGCTACTTGTAAGGGATCTTTAAACCACAAATTAGGAAAAGACAGTCCTTATATTCTGTGTCCAACCTCAAAATACATATACATTTGCTTTAAAAAATGTGCAGTTTCCACAAGGGGAAATCACAGTTTGCAACAAACACCACAGGAGAGATTATCAGATACCGACCTGTCTGTCATGTCAAGGGCTGCCATTCCAGATATCCCTATGCTTTCCTCCACAGCATCTCTAATGCAGGCACTAACATAACCCCTGTTTTCCTCTTGAAGTGCATTCCCAAATGTAGCTCTGCTACCAAACCAGCCCCTCTGCGGTGGCTTCAGGGCAGTGGAAGAAATGCATTCAATTACATACACAAACATAACCATGGAAAGTAAAATTTGTTCAGCTTCTCCCGTATCTTTCTTATCTTGCTTGTTTTCTAAGCTTTGGAACAGGAGCCTTGTTTAAATGTAAGTTAGCATAACACCCTAATTTTAAATATGGACCTGTAGGCAGCAGTATAACATAAGTGTTAATGCAGTAACTTTGAATGTAGACCTTAGCTGAACCCTAGAGCCACGGTGGTTCTGCAGTACATATACAGTCATTCAGGGGTGATCCTTTGCTTGGATAAAATGCTTCCATTCAAAAGCAACGATAGTGTTTGAATTAATTAAGTTATAACTGAAGTTTTTTCATGATGCTATCTTAAAGCAATAACTTGCAGTGGTACACACAGCCTAATCAAAATCAGGCTTTGCGGTTTTAGGTGATGCATAAATACTTCTGTAGACCTGAGGTGAAAAATGTGGAGCATTTCTAAGGGAATTAAGAACCTCAAACTCACCTTTTGAAGTAATCTTGCTACTTAGGAGCAGATTTTCAAAGTGTTTATTGTCCCTTTCAACAGTAGCAAAGAGCAAATGATGGAGAGCTGCAAGTCATAGGCTGGGATTTCAGCAAGCCTGAGGTACCAGTGCGCATGTCTGCAGCTATTCACACCTAGGTACTTCTAGAAACCTGAGCCTAGATACCTCACTATATTAAAAAAAAAAAATTGAATTAATACCACAAAGCCTAATCATGAACAGAGAAATGTGAGCCAGAATACCTTTAGAAAACAATTTTCAAAGGTGTATTTTCCCCTCAAATTGTAAATAGGCTGCCTGGGAGAGTTTATTATATGAGGTTAGTTACAGCAGTAACTTGATTCTGACAGGTATCTGTCTGTCTACTTAGCTATGTTGTTTAGAAAACCCGTAGTTATGCTCCCAAGCCACTCTTGAAAATTGTTCTTTAGAGTTGCCCTGAAGCACCTGTACTGTGCCTGGGAAAGGAATGCACAAAGGAACAGAGCTGTTAAAAGCAATTACTTACAACAAAAATGATCTTTTTATGTTACAAGAAATCATACCTTTTGTGTAATATACCTTCAAAATGTTAGAAGCATTTCTGTCTGAAACATCCTGTGAACAGAAGGCAGAGGGAAAGCTCCTTAAAGGCTCAGGTTCACTTTGAGCTTTCACTGGTAGAATTGGGGTTTGACTGCTGTCTTGTATAAACTAATTTAATGTTATTTTTTCTGGAAGGATGTGTTGTCTCTTGATCTTATTGGTCACAGAAACTTTTCTTTGTGTACCAGAGAGACAAGAATTCACACCATTTAGAAGAGGCAGCAAGGATTCTCCCTCCTGCAGCAGCTCTTCAGCCGCTGGAGTTTCTGTAAGTGGTTTCACATCTCCCCTCGGCTTCTCAGCATTGTCCTACAGTTCAGACTGCCACTAGCACAACCAGATTGAAGTGAGACTTTAATTAATCTGGTGGAATCAGGAAGAGGGCCTGAGCATGGCTATGGTGTAAGATACACTTAAAAGAATTTTTTATTGTGTCTGAACCAAGCTTGAGTTAATCCTGAAGCTAATTTGAGATCAAAAGCACAGAGACTGTTTGAAATCTTATCTGAATCAGATTGCCAGATCATTTAAGGCAAACATTAAATAAGATTGCTTCAATTACTCCAATCAGTCAATCTTGGCAACTGAGATTGAGTTCTTCACTTCAGAGGCTGATCAACTACTGTTAGATTCGGGTAATAAACGGGGTAAATTAACTGGTGTGTATTCCTTAGTGCTGTAGTTGGGCTTCTGGAAAGAGCTCCTCCACGTTTGGACCACACCATGGCACAGGCACAGCTTGGGTTCACAAGTCTGGGGCTATTTTCTACAGCATTCCAAGGGCTCAGAGTCAGCGTTTGAGTTTTGACCTACTGTCAGTTTAGGCACAAAATAATTCTCACCTTTCCAGGAGCACTGCCTTTCTTAATAGATTAAGACCATTAGATAAAACAATATTGTAACACTCTGTGAAAATTGAGTGACCACAGGAGATGATCACTACAATATGAGATAATTATTAAAATGTTTTAACTGAACCTACAGTTAGAACCTACCTATAGTACACTAAAGTTCTGCTGAAATCCAGACAAAATCTGCTCATTTAAAAATGTACCTGTGTGTAAGGAGGTTGGCTATTTCATCTGCAGTGGTTTGTGTTAGAAGGTAGATAGCTCAGATACCAAATATCAGGTTATATGCACAGAATTTTGCAGATATCTTTCCTAGCAGAGCTTTTATTATTTTTTTTTTCTTTTTTCTTTTCAGGATTGGTTTTGGCTTGCAGTTCCCATGGTTTTGAGTTCAGTTTGGCAGCTGGAATTCAAAACTGGAAATGTGGGGCCAGATTTCTGCTCTGCTTTCCGGTGCCCGCCCCGAGTAAGGTCCCTGGGTATATCCCAGCCTCTCTTCCCAGACTCTAAAATGACTGTCAAAGGGTTTCCCTGCCTCAAAAATGAATTGAAGCCTCTGATCAATTGCACAGAGAAAAGGGCTTTACTTTTCCACTTGGTTTTATGCTGCTTAGGACTTGTAACTCTTACATATATCTTTCATTTTGGTCATTCCCTTTTTTTTTTTTTTTTTTTTTGGAGTAGGAAGAAAGTATAAAGTTGTAAAAAAATATTGGTTTTTTTATCAGAAAAAAGAACCTGTTGCTCTGAATTACAGATTTTTAGCTCCCAAAAATATAAACTTGTGATTCAAAATAGAACCAGGCATAGGTATCTTCTTTTCCTTGCTATAAATGCAGCTATTTCTGTACCCAAAATGAGACTCAGATTAAGGCAAACAGATTCCTTGGGCAGGGTCTGAATTCAGAAAAAAGCTGAGGCCCCAAGCCACCAAGTCACCTCCCATGTAAAAGAGGCCAGAGGAATCAATAACATATGTACTTTACAGCATGACAGTAATAGTGGAATTTTATAGTGGCTTTCAGTTGTAGCCTTGAAATTTATTTCTTTACCTTCTGTGTATTAAAGACACATAACACTTGCTGGGAGCAAACCAAGAGATGTGCATTAGATCCCAGTACATCAAACAAGCCCCAGCGTAATGTAGCCACCCATTTGTTTTGGGTGCCTATGGAATATGGCAAGCTCAAATATGCTTGCCTCTCTTTCCACATACACTTCACAAGTTCACAAGGCATAGCTTTATTATTATTATTAGCATATTGTTATTTAAGAAAAAAAATGGCAAATTCTTCAGTAAATATAATAAACATCTGGTTGTGATTGGGGAAGAGATTGCTATTTGAAGTCATTCTGAGAGGCTGATAATGCTTCTCCTAAAACTATTTACAAAATCCCTTCCCTCTTATGCCTCAAGGCCTAAAAATACGTATTTTTTTCCCCTTTGATATCCTGACACTTTCTCTCAGGAAAGATCTAGTAGGAAAGAGTGCTTAAGATCCAAGGGAAAAGTTCTTATCTATTGCCTCAAACTACAGCTTTTACCTGCTTAACACCTGTAGTTTGATTGATAACACTTTACAAGATGAGATAAAGACCCTTATTGCCATTAGCAATATTCACACCCTGGCAATCTTTGCTCAGAGAAATGTGCATTAATGTTCTGTTATTACAGTAGTAGTTTATATTTTCAACTGCAAGCTGATTTATCAGGGTGTGTAAACTTTGCTGAGGACATGCAGTCCCAGCACAAATATGACCAAGCACATTCTTGTTTCATGATTAGATCTGTATGAAAATGAGGAGGCAGTGCCTGCATTTGCTTTGTGTTGTGAAGCAGCTGTAGACAAACCTGTTGCTGTGACAATGTGAGATAGCAGTTGGGATATTTGGCACACAAGCTCAGCCTGAAAATCTTCTTATTCCTGTCTGTGTCTTCTCAGATGTGACGTACAGCCTGGTGAGATCCTACATGGGTTTTCACACCAACCTTCAGACACCTTTGGGAAATGACAGATATTTTAGCAAAAGCACAACCCTATACTTTGTTCTGCACTTTTCTTAGTTCACAGCCCCAAATTTTGGAATGTCATACTGGCTCAGAAATCCTGGATTTCTCTGATCTAGTCTTGTGTTGCTACTCTTTGTTTTCATAAAATGAGTGTTTGCTGCTCTGTAGTGGTGTAAATGAGTTCTCCCGGGTGCCAGGTAGAACATCAGAAATTCAAACTAATAAAAAGAAGCAAAGAAATAAAAGGAAGGAAAATCAGAAAGCAGGATCATCTTAATGTCCCCTGGGGCTGTACAGTTGCAGCAGTGGGAAAAGAAAATTTCATCGTAGTAGATCTGGGAGAGAGGAATAGGCCAACCCAATAGGACATCCAGAAGTTGAGGGCTATCACTTGGACTGCTGGCATTTAAGGACAGTCCTGCCAGATGAGGCTTAATAGCATTTACACCCACCAGTCCACAGGACAAGGCAAGGAAGGATCAGTTCCAGATCCTCTGAGCGTGCCAGGTTTGTCTATACTTTGGTCTTCTTCCAAGGCAGTGCTAATCTCTGTGCCTCCATAGTGTGAAATCCCACCCTGACAAAAATCTTTACAGCCACTGGGGTTTTCTGTAGAAGGACACATCACTCTGATCAGCTCCTGCATTAGGTTATTAAATAAACAAGTGTTCCTACTCATTCCAGGTAAAATGGCAGGTGCCACCTGGCTGGAGCTCTGTCCATGGAAGAAGGCAGAAGTCGCCTTCCCTTTTGCATCACAAAAAAACCAAACTCTTCAGGGGACACAAAGACAGACAATGTTTGTAAAGCTCTTCCTGATCACTGGTTCTGTAGGGAAGTGTTTTAAGACTTTTTTTGGTGATATTTTTAAATAATAACATCAATGATCTTTGTAAATGACAGAAAGTGATGCCTTAAATACCTGTTCAAAAAGCAACTGTGTTATGATCTCATTGGCAGGATAGTTGTGCTTTCTAATTGTTCATTTCCATTGCAGAGAGTTGATAATTAAAGATTTCATGTAGACCCACACAGGAAGGAAAGAATTTCACAAAATATCCTGTTTCCCACCCATCAGATGGGAATAGAGTGGGGGGTGAGAGAATGAATCAAAGGATGAGCACAAGAATATAAAGCTGAAGCTGCAATAGTGACAATAAGGGTTTGTTCTTTTCCACAGGAGCCTGTCCCAAGAAAGGATTCCTGATGGGACATTTCCTGTTCACATTGCTGTCTTTCTCATGAGAATCCACTCTCAGACCCCATGCCTCCTTGTGGACTCTGACAGATGGTGGCATCCAACTGGACCCTGACTGAGCAAAGTAAGGAAGAGTCAGTGACATAATACTGGTGCTGCTGGAGTGTGAGGCATAATCCACAGCAAACACTCATGTTACAAGAACTGCAACAAGAATAAAAAATACCTATGTGATTGCTTGTGGTCACTCCAAATGAAAACAGTGCAACAGATCTCAAGAATGCAAAGATGCTTCGAGAGCTTTATTCTATTTTGGTTAATGTCGGCTAAGTTATACCTATGGGGTCCTGTTCCTGTGAAAAGATTTCTTGGAAAGTGTTAAGTATATCTGATGCTTATCAAGAATGCTTAGGAATAATCAAATATATTTGATAATCTGTATAATTGCCCTTGGAATAGATGTTCTGCCAGTGGCATTTTTAGTCTAAATTCCTACTCCCATCTGCCTTGAGGGTTTGAGAAAGCAATATTTGCTAAGTAGATATGCTAAGGACGATGTTCAGCTGTACAGTGGCATGCTGTGCCTATGTAGTGGCACCCTGTATCTCTTACTGAGAAACTGGACCCTTACATTAGTAATTCATGCATTCTGAGCCTAGAAATCTCTGTCATGAACTTGGTACCTCTTGTAGATGCCAGAAGAAACCTACCCAGACAACACCTGACCTGTGGAAAACATTGAAGATTTTTTTTTTTAACTCTTGGGTGGCCTTCCGGAAAGGGAATGGAAAAAAAAAAACAAACCAAAACAAAACAACAACAACAAAAAAAACAACCCCCCCCCCAAAAAAAAAAAAAAAACAAAAAAACCCCCAAAAACCCCCAAACTTATTAACCAGGTATCTAACTCCAAGTTTCAGAAGTTCAGTAGATACCAATATGTGGAGAATATAACTGAGGTATAAAACGACTACAGAAAGCATACGAGACAGAAATAACAGAGAAATTTGATAGGTCTGATATAAAGTTCCAAATGGATCTCCCTACTCAATGGGACTCTGTTGGTTCTTGTTGGTTCTATAGAAATAATCTAAAAGCCACGGGGAAAAAGCATTACTTTTTCACCTAAAACAAAATTTCCACTTTTTGAAAGTACTTTTATTCCTTATAAATTGGCAGAAACTTTAAGAAGAATTGATAAGAAAAGGGCAGTGCTGTCCTTTAGACTGAGGAGTCTGGTACTCTTGTCCAGTCATGATATCTGCCTGGCTGAGTGCAGCCACTGAACCCTGTGGGTACCACATGAATAACAGATGCAAATCCAGAGTCCTGTCCTGACAGAGAGCACAGTCAGTATTGCTCTGGAAAAAGCCTGTGACACAACCTGGGAAATTGTGAAATTTAATGTATGTTTGAATTCCTTCTTCTGTTAGACTGATACTCTGTTCTTCTACATTTTATTGAGGGGTTTATGAATTACTAATCTTAGTTTATACCATTATTGGATAATTAACACAAAGGGTGGAAAACTGAGAGAGGGTGGATTTTTGAAAACATTAGCACATGCTCAAGTTTCCAGTTTTGTCCCTAGTGACATTGTCCAGAAAGCTGTGGCCTTCACAGGAGCAAAAACTTGACCATGCACTTCTACAAAAGCAGGTGTGAATTTTCTTTTATTTTTGGGCCTCTAGTGGTCTGTTTGGAAGGAATTAGTAAGGGCTATAAAATAAAGATTTTCTTTGGAACACAAAAATTAAAATAATCAGAGGCAGTGTAGAACACAAACTTTCACAATTTTCTGTGGACTTGAGGTATTTGATACACTCATTGCACAATAGCAGCAACACAGTTTAGCTATTTAAACAGCTATTTAAACATAGTTTAGCTGGTTTAAATACACTGAAATGCTCTCTATTACATCTGAAAGAACAATCCCAGAAGAACTAAAATGGAGAGAGCTTTCTCAGTAATTCCTCTTCCAGAATAACTCTCCTACCATTGTTGTTCAGGAATAACTGTAGACCCTATCTGTGATAGCACCCACTGGAGACAAACCTGCGCTGGCTGACACCAAAGGGAATATCATACATTTCCTTATCATATCTCTGAATAGCCCATCAAGATCATCTCAAAAGGAAAGAGAAGTTGCCTATGGGTTGTGAGAGGTGACAGCAAGCATCACTAAAGGAATTATGTGACTCACTGAAAAAATTAACACTTACAGTCTTGTATTTGAATATTTTCAGTATTTTCAGTTCAGCTAAATCCTACTGAGGAAAGGTGGTTTAATTTGTCATGGTTTTTTTTTTTTTCTTTTTTTTTTTTTTTTTTTTTTTTTTTTTCTTTTCCTTTTGGCTAATTGTTGCTTTTTACCTGAAATCACTGTTTATATCAATCAGTACTTTATCACCAAGAACACCTGTGTGGAAACTGGAGGCGATAAGGAAATTTTCAATGTATCACTGTTTTCTATTAGCTAGGTGTGAGCATGTATAGAAGTTCCTATCTGTCTCCTATTTAAGTAAGATAAGGGAATTATGAAGTGGGGAGTGTTCTACCCATGGTTAATTTGTAAAATCCCACCTGAAGAGATAAACACTAGGAAGCTGTAAATTAAAGGCAAAAACAATGTCTTAAAAATGTTCACAAAGGGATTTTATCATTCAGTTTTGTTCCAGAGCAAATCTTGTGTTATTTTCTTATTTCTATAAAACTTGTTAACAGCTATGCCACAGAGAGGTATTAATTTACATCACACTTGAGAACCGTGTTTGGGCAGCTTCTGGGTGTTATACTGAATTAGTACTTGCGAGGATGAATGGCTGAATACAAATATAGGGAGAATACTTAATATAATAAAGTGGTTTGGGGCAAACAAATTTTGAGAGGTTGTGCTGAGCAAATATGAGGGTTCATCTCTGTAACTTCTCTGGAAGTAGAGAGGAAAGAGGATTTGTCTTTTGAAAATACTCATTTGAAAACATCCTGAGCTGAGAATGACACAAAGAATGAAGGATGGACTTTGTGGACAGCACTGGCCTGGGAATCAGGATACCTGTCATGTGTTTGCACATCTTTTCCTTTCCCTCACAGATGAAAAGTGCCTAAATAGTGCTGGATTCAGAAGCCTCAATTCTTTTGTAGGTCTGTTAATTTCCTTCTTATTTTTGAGTTCCCCGATGAATACCAATGCCTCTATGCTTCTCACTTCCTTTTGACTGAAAGCTTCTAAACTGCGCTTGCCCTGTTCATAGTCCTGTGAAGATCTTACATTCCAATGTAAGATTGATCTGCCTCACTCAGACTGATGCAGTTGAGTGCCTGTAGTCAATCCTTCACACACAGAGCTGAAAAGCACAGAATCACTGTTGCCTAACCCAAGGCATTCTCCTACCTCCATGTTTAGTATGCAAATATGGAGTCTGGCTTTTCAATCTTTTGAATGCCTAAAGCATTTTGAAGAGTTGATTTTGCTTATCTTACTTTTTCAAAACTTCTCAAATATCTGCTTTCTCAAATATCTTATACAAGACAAGAATTCTCAATGGCATGATGCAGACCTCCTAGCGTGCTAGCCCATCACTAGCTGGGCTTGGAAAACCTTACCAGTCTTGCTCTGCATTGGTTAAGATTTATCACTGTAACTACACAGAGACAAGATAGAAGTTATGTTTCCTGTGACACAAAACAACCAGGAGGCATTTGCCTAGCCCAAAGATCTTGACTTTTCTTCACTGATCAGCCCTATGTCAAAAAAGCCATCCTGCTGCTTTTTAGGGTTCTTCTCACAGCTCCCTTTGTTTCCAGAGTGGCTCCCTATCTTTTGGTACCAGGATTGATGAGTCTCCCTGGGTGAGCTGAGCTCTCTCTGCCCATGCCAGGCCGGCTCCATTGCCAGCAGCTGCTTTGCTACATGAAGGAACTTAAATGTTGCTTCCATTGAACTGAAAAGACTGGATTTGGCAAGCTCCTTGGCTTAATGAGGTCTGCAAACTGTCTTTGAATCCAAGACTCCCATGATGGCAATTGTTAGCACTTTTCAACACAGCAGTCTTTATATGGGGTAAAATATTCAAAAGTGCTTAAGTGAAGGTCAATAAGACTCAGCTATTAAAATAAATAAATAAATAAACCCCAGACCCATAATTAACAGATGTTTGTGGTCCTGCAATAAGTGAAAATATTTTAACAGCCTTTTGGTAGAAACCAAATGCTGAAGTAACCCTTTGGTTAAAAAGCAGCATAACTGTGTAGCCTGATGGGAAGGGCTCCCTCACTGAGAATAAAGGAGCCTCTGGGTTCAGGGAACAGCTTACTGCACAGACAGACCAAAACAAAGCCAAAAGGAGGATGCTTGGAAGAGCTTCCACCTGCAGAGCTGTACCTTGGGGGAGCATCTTGTCTGCAGCAGGATAACCTGCTGCTTTTGAGGCAGCTCTTTCAGGCAGTGACACCTCACCTCATTTCCCTGGGAGTTGTTTCCATGTCTGGGGCACCACAAAACAGGCAGCACAGAGAAAAGCTGCACAGCAGGCTGGTGGCACAGAAAGCCACAGCCTGGTGGTCCCCCTTAAGCTGAGGGATGATAAGTGGCATCTCCAGGGAATAGAGATGTCAGCTTCAAAGACCTCAGGATACCAAAGTATTTGTCTCTTGCATACTGGCTACTGAATCAGAATGGGGAGAACGCTGTTTCTTCCTTTATGAAATTTAGCCTTTTAATTTCCTTTGCTTTTACTACGTGCGTCCAGAAACAAAGTGTTTCATTTTGGGGGTCAGAAGGAGTTTTTCAGTGCACATGAGGCTCTCCTCTTTTCATTTCATGGAAAAAATTAAGAGTAGGGGGAGAAAGGGAAGTTGCATCTGTTCAATGCAAGCTTCCAAAATATTTTTAATTCAGCAGTCACAGTGGAAATAAATGCAATTATTCACACAACTCTACTCACTTTGCACACGGAAGCAGTGAGATGATTCACAACTAAAGATTTTTTTTTAAAAAAGCATTCATTTACACAGTGAAGAAGCAATATTGAGCATGGGAATATATGTTTTGGATTCAGGACCTGGGTTTGTGAGCATATATGATGGAAATTGAGGAAAAATCCCACTTAGATTTGAGTTCCTCCTCCTGGTAAAGCCTGCAGCTTGTGCAGTCTATCTGGTTGTAACTTGCTTTAGCAGTAATAACCTGGTGTAGGCTGGAATATAATCTTTTCACAATAAACCTCAGCTCTACTAATCTGACTAGCTTTGACCCAAGCATTATCAGGCTGCTTTCTCTTGCAGGCTGTGAAGGTATAGTGTAAAATTAGAGGATCTTTTGCCCTTAGGTTGAGCAAATGAAACCAAATTTATGGCAACAAAAACTTTGGCGGCTAACTTGCTGTCTCATTTATCCTTCTAAACATAAATGAAAATCACATGCAAAATTTTATTAATAAAACAACTGTCACTTTTGGTTATTTTAAGCCTGAACTCTGCCAAATGCAAATACAATAAATAATTTTAGAGAGAAAACTGGGTAAGCCAGCCCAAAATCTGCCTTTGTATTTTTTTTTATAGAGATGCCAAGACTGTTTGATCAGCATGGGAGAGCAATTTGTTGACTCACGAACCTAGCTCTCTCTGATTACTGCTTACATAGCACTTTGGAAAGGTTGGCCAAATACCTTCAAGTCAAGTACCTTGTTATTATGAACATGAGTGCCAGTAACAAAGAAAAAATAGCCAACATGTCATTGAATAATAAATCATGGAGGCAAATAAATGGCTTTTCTAAGAAATGCTCTATTTACATTTTGTCACGTGACATGGCTTTGCTTATGCTCGTGAACGTGATAACGCTTAAAAGAATACTTCCTTTTCACTGCAGCATCTTGGCATCAATCATCTCAGTGCAACTGCATATTCTGGGGTCTGTTTGCAATCAGGCAAATGAAGCAACAAGGGAGATTAAGGGGTAAGACCAATTGTGAGTGCTGGAGCTGTGTTGGTAAACGTAGCTGGCCTTACTCAGCGGCCATAAACTACCTCCCTCACACGAGCCTTTGGCATAATTACTCATGCAGAACAGGTATTCATCCTCTCCAAGCACCACATAAATGAGGCCATGGTAAAGTTATGCAAAGGAAACATGTATCCAATCTGATAAGAAGTCCCTAATAATTGCTGGTATTTTCCATAATATTAGTTTAGGGCTAGAGCCACAAAAAAGGTTTAGGCATGTAAGCTCTGCCTAACTGCCTTGTAGGCATTTGTGGCCAATATTTAGATCCTCAAAACCCCTGTTCAGCTACTGCCTAACCCTAGAGGCGTCTAAAGTCTGCAAGTGCCTATGTTCCTGCCAGTAAAATTCCTGAGGTGCCCAAAGGTCTGCTCCTGGGCATGCCTGGGACTGCCTCTGTTTTTTCTTTTTTTTTTTTTTCTTTCTTCTCTTCCCTTCTTGAGCTGAGTAAGTAGATACGCAGCTCATATTTAACCCCTGATGGCATCCACCAATGGGAGTTCTGACAAATATCCTTTGAGAAGCCCCAATAGTCCCTTGACCTCAAAAAAGCCCCCCAAAAAAACCCACAACCCCAAAAATAGTGCAGCTGCTGGAAATAGTAGTTGAACCTCAGTCTAAGCTCTCCACAGTGACAGGACACCTGACATTAGGTCCTTTCTCTGCCAGAGAAGGGACACTCCCCCCTACTGCTGTGCTCCAAGCTAAAGGAAAGGATTTTTATCTGTCTAGGGCATCATGAGGGTTTCCCCAGATGAGGCTGATGCTCTTTTGCAGGGTGCAAGCCTGCCTCTCTTGGCTGTGTGAGGGATGTCCCTGGAGCTCTGCCCCAGCTGGCAAGTGTCCCTGTGCCCTGCTGTCCAGCCAGCAGTTCAGTTTCCCTGTCCCAGTTAACACCCTGGGGTGCCAGGCACAGTGCCAGCTTCAGCAGGGAGGGTCTGGGAGCACTGCAGCTTTCTGCCTCCAGCCTGGTGATCCAGGCACTTGGCAGGAGTCTCAGGCTGTGCTTCCGGATGGCCAAACCAGCCATCCCTGCTGCCAAGAATGGGGAGGCCCTTCTCCCTCACCCCACAGTCATGAGCCCTGCCCTCTCTTGTGGCAGTTCTGGCATCACTGGCCTCTGCTGAGGCAATTCAACTTCTTAAAATGCCAGAAAGGCTCCCCCTCACACCCTTGGCAGGTGTAGCCTTCTGCAGGTTTAGTGAGTTATGTCATCCCATGAAAGGATCCAGCCACCCCCAGAACTGGCTGGGAGAAAGCCTTGTGAGCAGCCCTGCTGGTGGGGATGAGCTGGTGCCAGCTCCAGCAAAGGCTTTCTTCAGGCATCCCAGAAAACTAAGAAGCCTAACCTTTTTTCTTTCTTTTTCAGAGAAGAAGTTCAGTGCCTGATCCGTAAAATCAGCCTGTGACCATCTTGCACAGGAGCTGATGTCCACAAGAAGTAGCTAATGTGTGAACCCTGCACCAAAGGAAGGTGCAGACCAAAGTGAGACAGCTACTTTTTTGCCAGTAAGATACTTCTTCAAGAGTCTTTTAATCATCTGAAAACAGGTGTGGAAATGTTCTCTGGAGTAATAGGAGTCAGGTGAATGGGATGGAGGCGCTTACCCCTTCCTGCTTCTCACCCTGTCAAATGAGATCTTGGAGTTTAACAATAAAGCAAATGCCAAATGGAGTAGGTAGGAGAGTCAGCAGAAGGAAGGTGAGATAAAAAGTCATAATATAGCTGGGGTTAGGAGGGAGAAGGTCGAGCTCATGGCTTTCCTTGTGTTTCTTGGATTTAGCACCTTGTTGCTTCACAGTAAGTGGCCACCTCCACTTCTTCAGTTAACAAAAGCCAAAGAATCTCACAGAAGTTTTATTTGTGTCCTTCCTGTTGGCCTTTTAGGAAAGAGACCTCAGCCTGGGTATAGTTGGGCACCAGCATTTAACAGGCCCAGATGGAGTGCAAATGACTCAGGTATGGAGCTGTGATTTGCCTCTCTCAAAGGGCTAGGACTCTTTTGGATTCAAGTTCTTGTGCACAGGTAGGTGGCTACATAATTTCAAATCTGTCAGTGGTCCATTTTTTATTTTGGTGAAGAAACAGCAGAAGAATTCTTTTTCTGTGACCATCCAGACTTGGGTAAATTGTGCACACACACACACACACACACACACACACACACACATATACTTGCCTGTATAGTTTTCAGTTCTTGGATGTATTCTTTAACCATGGATGTACTGGTAACAGAAGGAGGTGAATCCACAATTTTCCAACAGACATCCCAATATTATGTATGTAGCGGAGGTTATGTTTGAACCAGAGGGTGGTTGATCTGGAACAGGATTCCCAGGGCAGTGGTCACAGCACCAATCTGACAGAGTTCAAGATGCATTTGGACAATGATCTCAGGCACATGGTGTGACTCTTGGGGTGTCCTGTGCAGGGCCAGGAGTTGAAATTCAATGGTCCTCATGGTCCCTTCCAGCTCAGGTTATTGTAAGATTCTAAGGAACTGGAGCAGTTGGCTGGGATGGCTAGTGAGGTTTGGCTTTGACAGCAGCATCAAATGCACATGATGCAAGTGTAAGAAGGACAAGACTTGCACTTCACACCTGCTGGTGGTTCCTTTGTTTAGTGCTAGTTCAACCATGTGGCTTCTCTTATTTGGTCTCAAAAATAAATATTTCATTTCTTTGACTTTTCAATATGTGGTCACATCATATAAACATCACGACTTGGTAGACATGCTAGAGAAAAGCAGGATAATGCCCCCAACTCCTTTTCTGTCACATGTATGTTTATCTTAAGATTTTCTGTCAGTGTTGAGTGCTGTACATATTGAGCTGTACAGATTGAGCCCTTCTGTATATCTGTGAATTCTTACAGTACCAAAGGCAGAGTCCTAACCACCTGGAGGGGCTTCCTGGTGATACAGGATTGCAAAGCATTATTAACAAGCAGTGTGTTATATCTAGTGAGAAAATAAAATAAATGGTTTGCTGTTCAAGTGCCTGCTCCTTCCAGCTTCTACTTTGTGGTGGGCTTAAAATGCCTGGGATGCTTTTGCTTTGCTTTCTCCATATCTCACCCAGTTTCAAGCATGGAATAAACCATGCTTTTTCTCAATTAAAGAATTAAATGCAGGTTAAATAAATAGTTTTGTCAGCTTCTGCTGTCTTACAACAGCTTGAATTTGAGACATGTATTACAGGAGGTCTCTGGTGTTCCTGCTCTCTCCCCTGCTCTCAGCTCTGCTACTTGGTCTGTGAGAAAATGTGTCCTCCTGGTAGTGCCATATTAGAAAGGAGGGGTGAGCGTTTCCTGTCTAGTGGAGCTATCATCAAGTTTCAGTCCAAATAAAGCTGAAAGAGTCTGCAGATTGGGAGGTTTTTCTGGTGAGATTAGCTCTGTACATTTGTTTTTATAGTACTATGGTTGCCAATCAAAGAAGCAAGCAAGTCACTGCTAAATCCAATGCAGACTAAACAGCAAGGGGACTGGTTATGGGAATTTGCTTACAAAGAGATTTCCTGTTCTGTTTGGAGGTCAGTCACAGTAAAAATAAGATAGTAGACATATTTACTTGGTCCCTCAATATATAAACGTACAAGTAATAATCCCAGGTTAGCATGTGAAGAACATGGGCAGGAATCTGAAAAGTACCCTCAGAGAGAGGCTTTTTCTTGATTGTATTGAGGGGAGACCCTTTCAAACTGACAAATGCCTTAGTTTTGTCTTGGTTGCCTTAGTTTTTAGACCACAACAACGGTGTAGATCCTTGAAAGACAAATTATGGCAGATTATTCTTTTGCAATCATACTGGCAAGTTTCTCTCTTAGGGATGAACTAAACTGTTAGCATGTTTTACAACCTCATTTTTTGTTATCCTGAATTTTCATGTAAATGAGAGAGTAGTCACTCAAACATCTAGTCTCCAGGCATAATTTTAGAAATTAGTTAGAATATCAAATTGCTTCATCTGATGCAATCACACTCTTCCAAATGGGAAGACTAGAGTAGGTTTATCATTTGTGTTGCCTTGGGGAGCTCCAGGATGTTTTATGTAATCACACTGACACATTATGGTGAAGTTAGAAAGATGCTGAGGTCAAATCCACAAACTTAGGACTCCTCTGAGCAGCAGTGCCCAGTTCACAGAAGAAGCACAGCCTGGGGACTTTTTCCATAAGATAGTGAGAATTTGTTCCTTCCATTACCCTCTGAAGAAGTAGAACTGAAGCTGCTTTTCCAAAGAGGATTTAAATTAATATCATACTGCATAATACAAGTTCTGCAAGAACAGCCTCAAGGTTTGTCAGATTGCATTTTTGCTTGGAAAATTTCTCATTGGAAAATTAACCAGTGACAATTTCTATGCAAGTTATCTGGTGCACTGGGAGGAACTATGGCTGCCCAGCAGTGTGGTTCATGAGTGATACAGTTGTTTGGCTTATTGCTCACTCATGGGCCTTCCCATTTCTTCTGAGGAAGGGAGCAAAGATGGGCTTTTCCACCACCTGCTCCTGGGTATGATATTTCAGATGGAAACAGCATGAGCTAGAGCTACACATAAAGGGTTGGACAAAGGGGAGAGCTGCAGTTCTTGGTGACTGGAGGGGTTGGTACCTGTCATTATTCCTGGCTGTGGATTAACATAGAGGGAGGAGTTCACAGCACTGGTCAATAAAGTTATAAGAACCACAATTACAGCCACTGCCCTATCAAAGCCCTTTTATTCTTCCTCTCATTTAGAAACAAATGTACCAGCAAGCATTTTTGAAGTACTAGAGTCCAGTCAGAGTTCATCTAAGCCTACATCAAAGGTGAACCTTTCTTTTTAGATGTGCTACAGGCATGAGCATGGCCCCTGCTAGTCCAGTCTGTTTCTTTCTGATCTCTGTCCTTTTTGTTATGAAGTCCCATGAATTTTCCTTGTGTTGAGTAATGTTTTCTGGCCCTGGTCCCCTGTATATCCCTCTCCTAGCAGATGTTCTATATTCATTCTTCATGTATATCCTATAAATTTTCTCCTAAGCCAACAGATTCATCCTTATGCTTGCCATGGTTTTGTTCCCTTAAATGTCTATTTGCTTTCAGAAGTGTACAGACACGTGCTTTTATCTCTGTTGCATTTCCAGCCTTCACTTCCATGTATCCAAATAAAAATGCTAATCAAGTTGAAAATCTGTAGTTTAGTTCTCAAGATACAGACTTTTGATGAACAAATGCAGTTTACTCCAATAAATGTAGCTGTTGCCTGTTATGACACTAAAATTCATTTCATATTTTGAGATCCCTTCAATATTTCAAGATTCATGCATTTAGACTTAAGCTGGAGTTGAGATCTGTGAGGATTCTTCTTTAAGGGTGAGGTGTGTGATGCTAGCAGCAGACCATTTATTTGCCAAATATATATTTGATTATTTTTTGCAACCTTGGCCAATATCTTCATCAGTACTTGTGTGTACCCTAAATTGTCAAGCACATGAGCTATATGTTATCATTGTTTCTGTGATTCTCCTGGTGTAATATCAAATCATGTGATACTTGTTGTGCTTATCTGCACTTTGTCTTAATAGGGACAAACAATCCAAACAAGATCAATAAAAGAAGGTGTCCTAGTTTGACAGTGAGGTCTGTGCTGCATTTATTTAACTGGCTAATTAAATCTAAATATAAAATTTTGCTCATATCAATTATCTTTGCTTGTATATCTTAACTTGGTCAGTAAGTGTTGATTTCTCCAGTTATTTGCTTTACTAAATCTTCCATTTCTTTATTTGGTTATGAAATACAGGGCTTCATAGTTCTGGGTGTTAATCTTTTTGTCTAAATCAATCCCTTCTTATGACATTCATCCATTTGGCATCTCTTGAAAGCATTCTGCAGATTTCATAATGTCATTCATCCTTACTTTGAGTTTCCTCATATGAGAGCAATTACAGTTTAAGCCAAACACACAATGTTGTCGTGTGGAAAGAGCTGTGACATATCAATATTGATTGCTGGTGGTGATTCTGATTGTACTAACTCGAATTTGTTAGTGTTTCCTGTTTGAAATTTCTGCATTTATGTTTTGTGAACCAGCCTGTTGATATTAGCTTCCTTGGTGCTTTTTGGGTTGGCTGGCATTTTTTTGAAGTTAGAGCTTCAATTTTTCCACGTGTCAGTTGGAATAATTTCCCATTTCCTCTATAAATGTAGAACCTGGAAAGACGATTCAGATTTCCCTCTACAGCAAAGGTTGGCTAACCTGGTTGGTAGCAATTCTGCCCAGGGAGTTCCATGCATGGATGCTATTGTTTAGCAGCATTTGTCTTCCAGTTAGGAGGCAGAGCACCTGCCTCAGTTCCACCAGTTTTCCTAAATTCTGAGTCCACCCAGAAAAGATTGAAGCCCAAGAGGAGGTAAAAATGCTAATTGGCCAGAGATGTGGCTGGGGCCTGCACCTAGCTCTGAGCTGAGAAAATAGAAGCACCACCACATCTGCCTGTTCCACAGAGGGGGAAGGCAAGCACAA